CAACTCTTCAATTTATTGATTCTTCATATTTTCTTAGTCTCAGTTGCATTAATTTTTGCTCTGATCTCTGTAATTTCCCCCCTCATATGAGCTTTGCATTTAACTTGCTCTTTTTTTGGAATCTTGAGGTGCAACATTAGACTATTTGAGCTTGCTGTTTTTCTGATGTGGGAATTCACCACTATAAATTTCGCTCATAGGACTGTTTCTTTGCATTCCATACATTCTGGTATGTCTATTAATGTGCAGCACTGTGAATATCTACTAAGTCCATTTGTTCAGAGATTTGGTTCAGCTCTGATACTTCTTTGTTGATTTTCTGTCTAGTTGATCTGTGACTGGGTGTATATCATATTTGATTTTTGATATCCATTAGGGTTTATTTTGTAAAGGTGCTGCATCAGTACTTGGTGCATATATATTTATCATTGTTATCTCTTTTTTTTGGATTGTTCCCTTAACAAGTATGTAATGATCTTCTTTGTCTCTTCAGATAAGTCTTGGCTTGAAATCCACTTTGTCTGTAAATGAACTAGCTACCCTTGTTTTTTTTTCCAGATTCCTGTGATATGAAATATTATTTTCCATCTTTTTACTGTCAGTCTATGAATTGCTTTTTGGGTTAAAGGTGTTTCTAGTGTGGAGCATATTGTTGGATCTATTTTATTTCTTTCTTTTCAGAACCAGCGATCTTGTTTCTTGGTCCATTTTGTCAATCTGTTTCTTTTGATTGGTGAATTGATGGTTATAACTGATCTGTATTTACTTATCCTTGTCATATTATTTTCCTGTTGTTGGTTCTCTTTTTTCCCTTTTGTTTAATTGCTTGCCTTGCCTGATGGATTCATTCTATTGGGATTCTTGGAATTGTCTTTTTCTACAGTATCCTTCAGAGAGTTTTAAAGCACTGGTTTGGTGGTCATAAATTTCTTCAGTTATTCTATATCATGGAAGTATCTATCAATTTTCAATGATAATTTTGCAAGATATAAATCCAAGTTGGAGGTTGTTTTCTTTTAGAGTTTGAAATACTTCATTCCAAACTAATTTTGACTTAAGGGTTTGAGTTGAAAATTGTACTGTGATTCTGATGCGTTTTCCTTTATAGGTGATTTGTTTCTTCTCTTTCATAGCTTTTAGTGTTCTGTCCTTTTGTTATATATTTCTGGATTTGTGTATGTCATATACTTTGGTGTAGTTTTTTTTCTGGTCATGACTTTTTGGAGTTGTGTATGCCTGACTTATCTATATATCATATTCTTTTTCCCTGCTTGGAAAGTTTTCCACTCTTACTTCTGTGAACAGGATTTTTTTTTTTTAATGTCCTTTGAGTTATCTTCTGATTCTTTATTGATTCCAGTTAATGACATGTTAGTCTTCTTTACATCATCTAGCAGTTGTTGGATTTAGTTTTTTGTGGTCCTTTGTTATGTTTAGCAGCTCTTTTATTTGATGATCACCAACCACAACCCTGTTTTCTAGATCTGATATTTTATCTTTACATTGACTCTGCTGGTGTATGCTTTCAGTAGAATGTTTTGATCTGGATTTTGGTTGGAGTCTGTTTTATGGAATCCACTTATTTTCAATTTTGGGCATTCATGATTTCCATGTCTTTTCTAAGGTTCTCCATTATTTTTGCTTTTTTGTTTATCTGTACCTACTCCAGATTCAATAATCCACTAATCATTTCCTTCATTGTGGTTGACATCTTTTTTTTTTTTTCTTTTTTGTCAACAGACTTATCTGTTTTGTTACTTTTGCTGGTACTGTTTCATAAAATTCAGCTGGGTGAGTTTTGATTCTTCCACCTAATGCCCCCTTGATTTGCCATGTGTGAGCCGGGGATCATGAGTGGCATCCTGCTTCCCTGCTTTCTCATTTTCTGCTTTTTTATTAATTTGTTTTCTTTATTGAGGCTTATAAATTGTTTGTGGTAGGTAGCTTTATTACTAGTGTCAAGACCTCTTGGGAAATCAATACTTCTCAGAGATGTCTTCTAAGTGTAGCTGGCTTTTGGCTTCTGAGTCTATCTCAGGATCTTGTCTCTTCGATTTATTAGGGATGAAAGGTTGCTTCATGTTTGGCCTAGCCCAGTCCTTTGGTACTGGACTGTAGTATTGTTTATGACCCTCGGACAGTCTAGGTATTGGCATACAAGGAAGATCAATTGATCACAAAGCCTGGGTCACCTCGGCTACAGTAATACAATCCGTAATAGTAAGAGCAGCAAGCCCAAACTGGAAAATGAGCCACTGTGATAACTGTTAACTTGTTGCCTTTAACTATAAGATATAAGATTTATAGTTACATAATAAAATCTAAGATAAATTAGAAAATTTTATTCAGTAAATATCCACTCGGTAGAGCAATTTTGCCCTAAGGGGAGAAGATTTAAAAGGAATACGAGGAAAAAATGGAGAAATAAATGAAGAGAAAGAGATTAGAAGCAAGGCTGAAGGACAAAGGAAGATTACCCAAGCCTCAGGAAATGGTGAAGAAGGGAGAGAAAGAAAAAAGGAATAAACAAAAGCAAGAACAAACCAAACTAAAAACAGTGTTCACACTCAAAAGGAAAACAAAAACAGAAAAAATGAATGACAAAATTCCCACACATGATGGGGGAAAAAAGAAATTTCTCTGATTCCAAGCCTGTGATTATCTTCTGAGGTCTACATTTTTGTGGTAGTGTGCAATTCATGGTGTAACTCTGCTCTTGCTGATAGACTAAGGAGGCAGTCAGAGCCCAGATCCATGCTGGATAATTCCAGCAAGCCTGCAGCAGGATTAGAGTGGGATGCTGGTTCCGGCCTCTTTTTGTGGGGTTAGGGCCTGGGTCATGTAGTTTGTAACACTCTGGGTGTCTCTTGTTGGCCTGGCCACGGCTCCCTGAATCTGGGTATCTCCTGTGATTGTCTCTCAACCAGTTACTGTGGTTTGTAACACTGGAAGCCCTGAGAGGAAGCCAACCTGCAGCTGCTCTGAGTCCCGGGTTTAGTGGACCCTCTCTCAGCTGACATCTCATAAGTGCTCTTCCCAGAGGGCATGGGAGGCACTTGGACTTGAGTTACTCACTACGTCTTGCAGCACACAGCATCCACTACTCCGTTTCTCCCTAGAGGCCTCTGGAGTCACTGCCTTCCCTGCGTCTCCATAGATTCAGTCTTCCTTTCTCAAGCCAGGAGCCAGGATCTGGGGAGAAAGTGAAGACCCCCCTTCCTTTTTCTACATTCAGGTCTGACTCTCCTAGTTCACTGTGGGAACTGGTTTTCCCTTCATATCCTTCCTGGGTCCCAGGATCCACCTCCCTCCCCTTGTGCTTCTTGTTATTTTCCCCTGTCTGGATTCCAAATCTTGGAGAGGTTGATTTTATTGTTTCTTACTCTCTACTATCTTCCCAGCAATCTTATAAAGGAAACCAGTAGGCAGTTTTTACTTAAAAAAAAAAAAAAAAAAAAAAGAGAACATCCATACTCCACTCATGAGTGTGTACGTTAAATTTTTGCCTAATAGAGTAAATCCTTTCCAGGCCACTTACTGACCAATCTTCAAAATTCTTTTTCTGCAATGGGAGTCAGCAAGTCTGCAATTTAATTGTACAAATAGAGTGGTTTTATGTTGTCTAGCTCCATTTTTGAACCTCCTTGGACTCTCTCCTGTGACAATTCCATTTCTCTAGTGAGCTGCAGTTCTGGCCTATTCAGGGTTAGCAGCTGAGCACAGGAACAGCATTTACTGAAGCTCCTTTCTCCATAAGAATGTTCCCTCAAGACTACTGAGTCAGCATCATTATCCAGATAAACATCTGCTCTATTTTGTCATTAGTGATGATAATGACTAGCTGGGGTCACTAAGGATGGGCTTAACACATAACATCCAAATGGAAAATTTGAGAGAATTGGAAGCTTTAGAAACACTGCAATTGTGTTTCCCTGTTTACTTAAAAAAAAAAAAAAAAAAAAGAGCAAATGAAATTGAAATTTCTTCAGAGAGCCCTCCACTCCGATTTTGTTTTGTTTCCCTTGTTTTTGTAATGAGTTATTAGATTGAGACACTGAGTGATTTCTAGCATACGTGGAAGAATTTTTTGTCAAGGTCACATGTCTTACTGGTAGCCACACATACACAGGAATATATTTAAATCAATAAATATTAATAGGGACAGTGATTTAGCTGAGTGGTTCCGCCACCTGCCTCGCAGGCGCAAGGTCCCGAGTTTGATCCCTGGTACTAAAAATATATCTATAAATAATATTACAACAGTAAAACAAGCGACTGGGTTGAGATTAGCAGGTCACAGGAGAGTTTTTAAAGGAGCACTCAGCCAAAGAGAAAAGAAAAAGATCTATAAAATGGTAAAACGTCTCATGCACGTATAGTCATCCTTATAGTAAAGCCATTTGAGCATTGTTTTTCCTAATCACAGACCCATAATTCCATCCTTATGATTCTGATACCTGACAGTTACTGCAAATCTCTAGATTGTATGAATTCTAAGAATCTTGTGCTCCTACGATGAAGCAGAATTCCCCTACTGTTCTGAAAATTTATTTCAGGTTTAACTAGTTTTTTCTTTTGACCAAGCCAAGTTCCTTCCTGGGGTCTTTCAAGTAAGGGTTTAAGATTTTATCTTTCTTGGGCCAGGGATTTAGCTCAGTGGTTCCGCAAGGTCCCAAGTTCAATCCCTAGTACCAAAAAAAAAAAAAGATTTTATCTTTCTTTTATTCTCTGCATTTTGTGAGGTGCCCCTCTCACCCTCCTCGTGCTGGGGATGCTCCACCCCAGCGCTGCGTTCCCGTCTTGTGATGTCTGTTTTGAACTGTTGAGTTATTTAATTGACCAAAGGCTGATTCCAGTCCCTTTGCTATCCGTTTGCTCCCCTTCGTCTGGCATTCTCACTGCCTGTGATTGAGGTGGAATAAAGTTAAACACCTTCTCATTTTCCCTAGACTGCGTGTGTTTGTGGTTTTGAGTCTAACACAGTTCTTCTGCCTCTGCAGTGTCTCACGTGGGAGCCTCCATGTCGTCAGCGTCGTCAGACACTGGAATGAGTCCCTCGTCGTCATCCCCCCCACAAAATGTCCTTGCTGTAGAATGCAGGTGATGAACGTTTCCTCTGCCTTCCCGCGATGTGCTGCCATGGGTGTAACTTCCCAAATCCCAGGACAACCACAGAAAGCACTCATCTGGTTTGACATTGCTACGAAGATCCTCTATGCTTCCCCAGGCTGGACTGTATCTATTCCCTTCTCCCTTCTTTTTTCTTGTTGCAAAAAATAAGCCGATAAATAACTGAAGGTCAGGCAGCCTGCCATATTTGTCAGAAGTTCCCCTCTTCGTGTTTTGTTTTTCTTTTCTTTTCTTTTCTTTTTTTTTCTTTCTTTTTTTTTTTTTTTTTTTTTTTTTTTTTTTTTTTTTCTTTTTTTTTTTTTTTTGTGATGTAGAAAAAAGGGCACTTAGCAATTTGAATTTGTATAATAAAGCTTTCAGGTGTTATTGAAATCATAGACAAGCAAGTGCACATGATAAACATCAAATATTACCCAGCTGAGTAGTTGCTGCTGCACTTTCACTAAGATGTATTTGGACACTTGGTGAGTAGGGGGTTTATGTTTTGTGTTTTTTGTTGTTGATTTTTTTTTTTTTTTTAGTGGAAGCACTTGCTATTTAGAACTGCCAAAGTATACGTTCAGCAGTGTGCCCAGGTTTAAAGGTGTAAATGGGACAAAATAAATTGTGAAAGGAAGTGTAGTTGACTGAAAACTACAGTTGTAATAAGTCTTCCACTTTTTATAGGACTTTTGAGCACACAATTATGCAAATATTTTAATGTTTATTAATGTGTACAGTGGAATTGTGAATAAGTTTTCAGTGGACTATCTTATCCCTTGACAAAAGTATTTTGTCTTTTTTCTATGTAATTTCAGAGGTTTTATTTTGTTACAAAAATACAAAAATGAAATATATAACAACAATGAAGTTATTTAACAAGATTTCTAAAGCTGAAATTTTTGTGTAAAATAAGGTATTATCTTGCAACTTGTTAAATATATTTATTCAGACATTGGATGTTGTATTTTTATGTATTTTTAAAAATATTAATAAAATGGAAAAAAAGACAATTCTAGGTTAATTCACTCTTTGGATGACACTAGCTCTCAGCTGTCCCTTTTCCGGGAGGGTGTGTCCAGCGGCCCCCTCTGTGCAAGGGACGTCTGTGTCCGTCCTTCGAACAGAACCGAACTGTAAATGGGCATCTGGATCGTTAGAGTAGGTCCTTACTTAGAAACTTTGGCAGTCCTAGTATTTAAACTGTTTTGAGGATCAAAGTTTTGGTTGCCCTTAAAATGCTTTGTCACAGTTTTTATGTTTGCTATACTGCCGAATAAATTTATATCTCCCAAAGTTGAGATGCATCAACTGAGTAAAGCAATTATGTATGCTTTGTCTGTGAATTGTTCCACAGACTGATACATCTTGTAAATAATTCTTCCAAAATCATGTATTTAAAGCAGTTTTGCATATACATTATGTAAAAAGGTGATTTTTTTAAGAGCAATTTTTAAATTCATGTTTATACATTGAGAGGGTTTTTTAAACCTACTTTTCTGTGTTTCATATGCTGTAGAGTAATCACCTAGATGCTCTAGACTGTGTATCAGGATTTGATTTACTAGAACAAGGAGCTAACCCTAGTGACGGCGCTTAGCATTGCTGATACCATTGTTTCTTAATTTCATTTTACCGTATTGTGAATTTGTGATTCAGACTCTTTCCATCTTCTCAGAGAATTAAAAACAAAAAAGTACCCCTGTAAAATGCACTTTTCTGTCTTTTCTTTGCGAAGCAGAAATATTTCAATGTAAAGTAAAAATGGAGCTCAGCAGTCAGTATTAATAAAGGCCATGTTTTAAACATAGGCTTTATATTTTTAGTTTTCATTGAAACGATTGCTTTTTCTCATATGTCAGTAACTTTTATAGTTGGAAAATCAGTTTTCACAAAACAAAGCCTTCTAGTATAGTCTTCTGTTTTCACTATAAATATTTCTAGAACAATTATCAAAATGAAAAGAGTGTCATTCAAATCTAACTGGAGCTACCAGGCAATCTTAAATTTATATATTACATATTTTAATGATTTCCTTCCATAGCAGTATAATAAACCTAAGATGACTAAGTTATCAATTTGAGTACTGAGCCTTGTAATTGATGTAAATTTGGTAGTGAAGTATTGGAATGTTGCTAAAGAGAGCAGAATTATGTAGTCATTGAAGAATTATATAAGCATTGCTTAAATCCTTTTCTTTGGGCTGGAAGAGATCACAAAATTAAGTGAATATTGCCTAGGCATTACAGTTCAATTATTGGGCATATTTGGAATTTACCGAAACTTTAGATACCACTTGCATATGACTAAGAAAGTAAAAGTATAAAGACAACTCTTTGATATCTAAAATTAAAGATACTATTTATAAAAATTATAATATTTGAGACTGTATAGCTTTGTTTTAGTATTCCATTGTGCGCTTTTATTGTTTTTGTATTGCATTTATAGTTTTCCTGTCCTTAAGACAGTTGTACTTAGCATATTTTTTAAAACCACTACATGCTATGTGTGTGAAATTGCTTTGAATTACACAAATCTATTATTCATTTGCTGTTAATGAGCCCTGTATTTTTTTATATAATCTTATTGAGTTTATTGGTACTTTTTATATACAGTACAGTTACATTCATCATTGGGATCTTGTACCTTTATGTGACAGATCTTGATTCTCATTTTTTCCCCATACCCTTGCCCTCCCTTTACCCCCTCCTCCCTCCCCTATTTATAAAGACTTTGTTTCCATTTTTTCCTTTTCTCATATTTTTTCTTGTCCCTTATTTCCTTTCCCCTAACTTTCCCAGTTCCTCTACACCTTTAGCCCTTTTCTTACTGTTTCACCTTATCAGTTATACAATTTGGATCTTATTTATACTTTTAGTTTTTCACACCAGAGAAACTATTCGGTATTTACACATGTGTGTCTTATTTCACTTAAGAGTATGGTCTCAACTTGCATCCATTTTCCTATGGATGACTCTAGTTTCTCATTCTTTATGGCTGAGTAGTAGTCCATTTTATAGAAAAATCACATCTTTATCCAGCTCATCCAACTGATCATCCACCTGATGGGCAATTGTGTGTTTCCAAGTTTTAGCTATTACAGACTGTGCCACTATAAACATGGGTGCGTATATATCACTTTGAGCCCTGTAATTTGACATAGCTCACACTTTGTGAAGATATTCAAAAGTATTTGACAACACACAAAATCTATTCAGCACAAGCAATTCGTCAGCCATTTATTATTTTCTCTGAGGCGGGTAGTATGCTGATGATGAATGCTAAGAAAGACCCAGGAAGGACAAAAGCAAACAAGACAAAAGAACTGAGCTATTCTTGTGGAATGTGTAGTCAGATCGGCTGCACCTTAAACAGTCAACACAAGGCATTCTCTGCTGTAGGCACACGAAGATGAGAAGTTTACCGTGTGCCTTGAAATCATGATGCAGAGCCCGTCTAGGATGAAGGCTGGGAAGACCTTGCCGGAGCGTGTCAGCCCCGCTCAGTGAGGATTGAGGCACACAGGGAAGGGGAGAGCAGGAGCAGGCAGGGTAGGGTGACTGGGGGCTCCGGACTTGTGCTGCCCCCTCTGCCTCTCGCTCTTCTGTTCCCGTCACTCATCCCTGCCTGTCGCGCTGTCTGCCGAACCTTTGCTGACTTTGACCACCGCACAAGGTGCCCTCCTTCCCGCCCACCTGACCGCTTACCTGGAGTTACGTGACTGTGTGGCTGCTCCTGCCTCTCCCGGGGATTCGTTCATAAGTGCTCCTCGGCCCTCGGTGTGGCCCGCGGGCCGTCATCTAACACAGTAAGACGGTCCGAAGCTGTTTCATTAAACAGAAAAATTACATTCAACTCATGTTGTTTTGGCTTTTTTTCATTGATAATCCTCTTGTAGAGAGCCAGACACTTAAGAGTCCTTAGGGTTCCTGTAGAAGGTGATAATGTGGATTTTTTAAAATTAAGTTTATTGGTACATTTTAGGTGTACAGTACAGTTACATTCATCATCGGGAGCTTGTACCTTATATGACTCATTTTGGTTCTTATTTTTTCCCCATTCCCCTGCCCTCCCTTCAACCCCTTCCACCCTTCCCTATTTTTGTTTGTTTGTTTGTTTGTTTTTGGTACCAGGGATTAGAACTCGGGTCCTTGCCCTTGCAAGGCAGGCACCGGAACCACTGAGCCAAATCCCTGGCTTTACCCCTCCCTATTTACAAAGACTTTGTTGCCATTTTTTCCTTTCCCATCTGTAAAGTCATAGTCAAAATGCCATTTGAGAAGTGTAGACTCGTTTAACAGTCTCATCTTTTACTTAACTGTGAAGTTATTTTCCCTTGTCTCCCTGTTCACGCCTCCTTTTCCTGTCACTTTTCTGTGTGCACACAGTTTTTTTGTCCCATCACAGGAAGAATCCCCTGTGGGAGCTGTCCTTAGTGAAGGCTGACTCACTCTGAATAGAGTTTACACCAAGGAGTCATCTCCATGAATACATAGTCTTTTAACAATAGATTTTTCAGTCCTTTAGTTTTTGTGGGTTTTTTTTTTTTTACAAAATCAAATCATATTTTCATGTTACCAGCACAAAACACCTTTTGTGTTCATATAGACCCACATGCATCTTTTTAGACAAAGTTTATAAGTTTTAGACAGTGTTTATAATTTCGGTATTTGTCATCAGCGTAATTGCAAGGCTATCTTCCCTTTGTACTCTGATTCATGCAGAATGCGTTTGAAAAGTTCTGTTGTAAAGAGTTCAAGGAACTCCTGTGGAAATATGAGCAAGGCTATCTGAATCAAGAGTCTCACCAGTTAAGAGTTGCCATAGTGAGAAAGTAAAAACCCATTTAAGTATGAATTTTAGACCAAGTTTTAGTATAAGCATGTCCCAGGTAAAACATTGTTATTTATTAAAATTCAAATGTAACTGTATTTTGTCCCAAGACGTATTTATTATAATGTATAGGACTATTTTTGGGTCCCTGATGGAAGATAATAAATCGCTGGAGTTTCTCTTGGTTTCCAAGGATAGTTGTGGGCAGGCTATAGTTAATTTTAACAGTCTCCTCAGAGGGACCATGACCTCCAAGACTAGCCGTGTACATAACGTGACATAGTTCTGTGAAGTGATAGTGGGTGTACTCAGATTTTTGTGAGCATGTTCTTTCGAAGGGGAATGTTCACAGTAGGTCCTAACTTCTTTGGTGCTCCTCTTTCATCCCTAGCCACACTTAATCCCAAGTAGAAACATAAACTTCTCTGGCCAGAGTTTTGACAATTATGTGTAAAT